ATAAAAAGAAAAACCCTAAAAGTAACCGATTGGCGAAATAAATTTTTTTGTTCATTTGATGATAACCTTTCGCTCCGCCACCCGGCCACCAGCACCTCACCGGCATATATTTCTTTGTGCCAAGATCTGGTCACAGTTTTAACCAGTTCTTGCTTGCCTGCCGAAAGTAATTTTTGGAGGAATAAATCTTGCCGCCGCCGTCTCTGACAGAAAAACCCACTTATTTTGAGGCAGCCGCCACGTGTGCCAATTGGACGGCACTGTAATTTCTTGGGACGGCAATGACATTTCTGCCCCCATTAAATAGACGTCAGCCTCAACGGCGGATCAGCTGCCATACCCTTGCTCATGCCAGCAAGGGCAGGCGCCGTTTCCACAGTTTGGAATCCGGAAGAGGCAGTAGCCTTCTGGGCCCCATTGACGCGCCGCTGATCAGAAGCCCAGATGACATCGCCAATTAAGTTGGCCGGAGCGTGCAGATGCATGAAAATTGCTGTTAAATGTTTTTAGTAAAAAAATTGTTAACTAAATCTTGTGAGAGACTTCCAAAAGTTTGTGAAAAGTGCATTTATTAGGCCCTCAAAAAACCGCGTGCAAGTGCAGTGAAAAAGAAAAATTGACATCTATATACATAGCTTTATATATATAGAAAGGAATACTAGTATAAATCTATCCCCCTTCTTGTAGAGTCCAAAGTCATTTCAGAATTTTTTTTATATTTTTTTTTCCCACTTATTTTCGGAGAGTATCTTCTTAGTACTCACAATTTAAAAACCCTCCTGTGCCATAATAATATAATCAAAACAATTTAAAGCCCCACAGAAGACAAAAGAAAACAAATGAAAAAAAAAATAAATAAAATTTGCTGCAAACTCTCCGCTGGAAGGCCTTTCATCGAGGAATACATGTAAGTTTTTAACCTTTTGTTTTGAGTATATTTTCTTATTTTGGCACAGATAAGCACAGCCAAACTGACATGCGCACCTGCTGAGTTTTTTTACTTTCTGTTTCACATTACGCTTTAGCTCCGATCAATATGTTTATGACCGTGTCAGTCTGGTGAATGCTTATCATCTTTGATTCTACCTACACCCCGCTCAATTACTAGCTGAAACAGAAGCAACCTAAAAGAAAAGATTTTTAACAGAATCAAATATATGTACACAAAGATGTATCATCGTATTCACCGATCAGCTGGTTGCGCTGCGCTCCGATTTGCCCATGCGCTTTGAGCTTAACCTTCTGTTGCCCATATTTTTTTCGACCATACAATTAACCATCAACTACAATTGTATTGACTCTATTATAATAACTTTTTTTTTTGCTTTTGCCGAATACACTTTAGTTCAATTTACGAATGTCATTTTTTTCTTACCTAGCTATATTCTATAATTATTAAAATGCACTTTAGCGAAATTTGGAGAGTTTCTTTTTGATCAATAAGAAAAAAAAATATTAACTGAATAGTTTATAAAATGAATTATTTTTGAAGAATCTTTGAGACATTGTAAAAATATTAACGGACTAGTTTTAGTTACTGAATTATTGTTGAATCATTAATGCCACTTGTAATAAGATGCAGATTATCTAACGGAAGGATTCAGTTTCATTGAATAATGCTTTTGTTTATAATAAATATTAATTACGGATTTTGATTATGAATTGCTAAGTTTTCTTTCCTGGTGACATGGTGATATAATGTAGTAGAAGAATGTTTTTTTTGGGATCTTCAAAACCTTAAACGCTGAAGATCATGGTTGGGAGGGTATCGAACGCGAGAGTCAGCTTACATCCAAGACTTCGCCTCTTCGGAATATATATGCCCTAATGAAAGCTATCACCATTGTATTGGCACTTTAAGTGCTCGTTAAGTTATGCCTGTTTGAGATTTTGTTTCTGCGGAGTATCGGTCTCCAATTTAGATTCTGTAGGGATCCTAAAATAAAATTGTGTATGCAGGTCGAGACATGGCAAAAAGAACCCCCCCACCCGAAAGAGCTAGGGAACAAGAGGATCCCGCCCTGCCATGCTAACTCAACCACGAGGGGCCTCGGTGACTACTTCCCGAATTATTTTGTGAAGATTGGCTGCCAACCGCCGTCACCGTTGCTACCCGATATGTATTGCTAGAGTAGCTTCACCACAGTACATGCTACAAGCAGCAGGCGCCAACGTGATCATCGTTATCCTAATAATCATCTGTTATCCTTGCCACACTTAAGCTGACCGCCGTTCGATGCTTTCGAGTGTTTCACGCCTCTGCATAATTTTGCCAGCTCAGCTGCATGGAGCAAGGCGAGTGACAGGGGCAGAGTAACAAAGAGTGACAAAGAGGCAAAAAGAGAGACACAATCAAATAGAGGTAGCTGGCAGAGTTTCAAGGAGGCAGGGTCAATTGCCGACTATTGCCCCAGGACTGAGGTTAAGGCTTGGTTAGTCGGCCCCCACATTAATATTGAATCTGTACAATAATCCTTTTTATGTGTTCCAACAATGAGCGTTAAGTGCCGTCGCCCGTGCCACACCTCGTTATGGGCAGCTCAGGCGAAGTGCATTTTGGCTGCGACCTCGTCAGCCAGTGCCATTCACATGCTGCCTTATGCTGATCGCATTCGATTTTTATGTTACTCCTTACTCGGGTACTTCGACTATTGCGTGCTGCTTAAGACAGCTAAACATAACAGACAAATTGAAATATGGACACACCCCTTCTAGCTCACAGACCAGATATGTCCATATAAAGCCTTGTTTTACACAAACTGGACAATCGTGCCCCCTTGTGAGCACTAGCACTTCTACAAGGCTGTTTATTACCCAGTGTATAAGACTCTTATGGCACGCTATAAAAATAACCTAGAGCTGTTAAAGTAATCTGTGTGAATTAATTTTCAAAATGTGCGTTAGACAAAATAAATTTGAATAGCTCCGCTCTAGAGGAATCCTGCTTATGAGCACACGACTGTGCTAATTGGATTAAATCGGAATCTAACTCGAATTATGCAATCGGCATTTCACATTCACGTTTTAGAGAAAGATTTCGTTTTAATCAGTTAGAGGTAGAAAAATAACGCTTAAATTGTTTATTTATTGTTTATATGCTCAACAAATAGCTCGAAGCTTCATTACTTATCATAAATAAAGCTTTGTGCATGTCTAATTTGATTTAAAATTAATAAGTTTTATCGAAATGGTTATCGAAACCAACAGTGTGACCAAATTCCCATCAACTTAAGCAATTTTCTTACAAAGTGTATAACGTATAGAACGACCTCACAAAAAATTTAAACTTTATCATGTTTTAGCTGCTGTCAAATAAATAAGTGTTATCGATAAAGTTATCGAAGTAACAGTGTGACCAAATTCCTATTTAAAATTCCATCAACTTCAGCAATTATTAAACCCACGTAGGGAATATTAACATTCTCCCACAAAATGCATAAGGGATAGAACGAAGTTAGAATATATTCTAGCTGGCATGTGTTGGAGTACTTGGAAAGTGTATTCAAGATACGTTGTTTTGCGAACCGCTGCTTGTTTTTATGGCGCGTCATTTCTTTTGGGTGAGCACTTGCATTGGTCTTTGATTATGGAATTGCACTTAAAGTGTTGCAAGCTCCTTTCGGGCGACGACAAACCGAACGTCGCCTCATGCTATTTCAATGTGTCAACGGGGTGGCAATTTTTGTAATGGAATTGCTTTGCCTTAGCACTCGTTAAACTTATTGCTGTTTTTGTAGCTTTTTTTGTTGTTGCTGTTGTTGTTGAGGTTGCTTTATTGATGATAGATGAGAATGATTTGAATTTAATTTGGGCTGGCTGCATCAATGCAGATCGTGCAGCTCGCAGCTTGGTTTACCGAATGCCCACTAATCATGTTAAATGCTCAAGTTTCAAGTCGTAAACGTTGCACATACGCCGCGTTGCCAACAAGCAGTAGACGCCCAGTCTGAAACCCAACCAGGCGCAACGCAGACAGGAAAAACAAACGCAAAATGCAAAAACCTTCAATTAGTGTTTGCTGCTGCCGCTGCCGCTGCTGTGGCTTCCAATGCCAATGCATGCCCGGCTGATTTTGAGGTCAGCGCTCCTCTAATTGGGTCACACACCCACACCACACGCAACACGCACACACAACCACACACGCATACACACCCATATATAAAGTGATAGATTACAGCAGAGAGCAAATGTGCTTATCATACATATAATTGGCAACTTTTTGCTTTTACTTCTGCCGGTTAACATTTGGCTTAAACATATAAATAAATGTTACCGAATGCAACTCGGCTATGCCCGGCCTGAAGAAATTATTGCTTCTTATCTTAAAACCCATTCTCTCACATTTAATGGGAATGTTTTATGCAAAAATCTGTACAGCTTTATAAGTAAGTTTAGATCCGATCAGAGCAATATTTAATTATTGTCCATATAAACCCAGTCTTCCATTATCCCAACTAAGCCTGGGCTATATTTCCCGAAAAGTGCGAAATATGTCTAGAATTTAATTACACATAAATCTATTAACATGACTGAAGCTAAACGGATAAAATATACTATAGCAACAACTATTCGCGCATTTTTCACTCTCGAAAGTGGATTATCTTAAGATGGCGGAAACTAGCTTTCAACATGTTTTATATGTATTTAATCTGAAGTATCACCATTAGTGTGAAACACGCCTCTAGCAACAATACTTTGAATATGAGTGTGAAGCCGATCGGATGGTATACAAAGAAGATTCATGCATCATTCGATTCTTTACACTCGCAGATGTCACTTTCCATAAATTCCGTCTAGGTAACTAAAATAAGAATGTCAGCTACCCAGCATGTGCGTTGATTACCAATCAGTCAGTCAGTCAGTCAGCCAAAAAATCAATCAATCAGTCAGTCAGCTAGAAAAACACGTTTTATATATCTACTAAATAGAATGTATGGAACTCACAGTTGTATCTCCCGCAATTGAACACAACCGTTTTTTCTTTCTAACCTATTTTCCAGATACCGCAAATTATAATGTTGACATTCGATGGTGCCGTCAACTTGAATAATTATGATCATTATCAGAAAATATTCAATGGCAAGCGCAAGAATCCCAACGGCTGCAACATACGTGGCACATTCTTCCTATCCCACGAATACAGGTAACTACATATATATATAAATATATTTGCAAATATACTTAACAAGCGCCGCAGATGGCAATATAATAAGCCAGTTGACAGTGTGCGAGCTCTGGTGACACTTGGCCCCAAAACTGCTGGCAAACAAAATTTGACAAAATCATATACATTATTTTTGGCAATATTACGCATACGCCGTGTTGTTGTTGTTGTTATTCTACGCTGATGTTGCAGCTACTGCTGCTGCTTACGTTGCAATGTCTTCATCAGCTCGGCAGGGCAACACGTTGCAAGTCAAGACGTCTATTTGCCACCCACACGGGCAAAGTTTTGTGCATGGTTGTGGAAAATACTTGTCACATACTTGCCACGCCCCAAAAAGCGAGCACTTGCCATACGTCAGTCAGTCAGTCAGCCTGCCAGACAGCCAGCCAGCCCGTCTTTGCTCTACTAATTGTTGTTGATAAATTGGAGCTGACAAAGTTATGTCAACTGCAAAACGAATTTTCGCCAAAATATATGAACTACTTTTTGGCAGACTTATAAAAACGCCACATCGGCACACACACACACATACACGTACGCACAACAAAGTAGAGTACCAACAAGAAGCAGATGCAGATGCAGTTGCCATAGAATATGAAGCGGCAGTTGAAGATAAAGACACAACAGCGCACATTGGCCAAAAATGACATACAACAGTGGGCCAATTCGCTCAATTGTATGATAAATAACTTGACGAACAAACAAGACTGAGATTAAAACTAAATCCGAAAAAATAAGAAAACAAATCTTAAATTGAACTTCAATATAACATTTAACTAATGTGAGAAAAAACAACAGAGGCTATAAAGCACTTTGCTGTTAAAAGATGAACGATTTGGAATTAAGTATACGCCATGTCTACAAACTGAGAGAATCTAAATCTAGAATATGAATAAAAACATTACAATACGCGTGTTTGAATTAAATAAAATTACAATAAAATGAATAAATATAAGAATAGTTAGCGTAAATAGGATTCATGATATCAAACTATCTCTCCCCAGTTGGCAACATTCATGAGCCTAGGTTGAGAACTTAGACTTTTATCAATACTTATTAGCTCCTATTATTACTTGGGCTCTTCTGACAAATGCCTGTGCTACTGTACGATTTGAAAACCTAATGCCGCAAAATATGGTCCAACAAATGCAAAAGTAGAGGTCACCCATTATATAAAATTAAGGACTGACACTTTTTTAAGAGCCAGCTGCCCAGGCTCAAGGATCGGCCAATAGTAAAAATAAAATTAATGAGAATTCCGAGCTCGAGCCGGTTGGAAAAGCGAATTGTAGCCTGAGCATAAATGTTAACCAGGTCTTAAAAAACTCTAAGAAATGGTTAAAGCCATATAAAAATTAAGTATTATATTTTATAATATATGCAAAAACTTAAATACCTTTGGTATATACACAATTTTAGGCTGGCAAAAAGTGCATAAGCTGACCATTGTGCCAGGCACGCCTGAGAGCTAAGTAAGCGGCAAGAGTCAAAAAATTTGCGAACCGAGCGTGAACAGCAAAAATCTTGAGTGAAGTTTAAAAGCTTTTTTCTACTTTGCCACAGCAAAAGTAGAATATATGAAGTTGAAGAAGCGGAGCCATATATACACATAAATATATACTACATATATACATACATATATATGGAATAGCGGCAGTTTCGAAGTTGAATTGAAATGTGCTGAATGGCAGTAATTGCCTGAATATGTTACACATGCACACACATGAGTGCGCTAATGTGCGTGTGGGTATGTGTGTATATGCGTGTGTGTGTGATAGCTTGTATATGTTTATGCACACATACACACAGTCACATGTACATTTTGGGCAAATCATTTTTATGCTTTTGCCTGAAAAATAAAAAGAGACACACTTATCATTCATTCCACTTTTAGCATTCGTTTCTTTTTGTAGACTTGCAACAAAAAGCAGCAGCAGCAACGGCACATAAATAGTGGTAAACTGCAACAGTCGCACTCACAACTTGCCACAAGAAGCAACCACCAACACTATCGTCGTTGCCGTCACCGCTGCCGCTGCCGCTGCCTCTGCTGCTGCTGCTGTCGCTGCTGCTGCAGAGCTCTTTAGTGCGGAAATGATTTAATGCGCTTCGCAACTCTTCAGCTTATTTTGTTAAGATTTTTTGCCAGTGGCTGCGGGCATGATGATGATGATTTTGATTTGGCATGCAGAGTTTCCAGTTTCCAGTCAGTTGCCATTCGCAGCGCCGCAAAGTATGCAGCGTTTTTTTGTTTACGGCTATTGAGGCAATTAGTTTCGTCTGAAACCGTCTCCCACTTTCTATCTGTCTCTTAATATGTGTGTGTGTGTGTGTGTGTGTGCGAAACCAATAAAAAAGCGACAAGAATTTATGTTGAACTATTTATGAATGACAACGACTATTTTCAACTATTTCGTGCTTTAATAAAATTATATACAAGGCCTGCAGAGACAGAAATAATTAAGATGAAATGAAATTGTTTAAGAATGCCTATAACGTGTCTATTTATACGTATGACATCTAAAACTCTTACAACTCAAATGGCTTAAACTTATTTTGATACCCTTATTTCTACAGGGGTATTATAATTTTGACATGTAATGTGTAATGCATAGAAGCAGACTTCTTCGACTCTATGAAGTATTTTTTCTCCGAGTCATCGACAGACAGTCTTTCAAAATCAGCAAAATCTTAACAACCTTAGATCACTATAGCATAAAAAATTAGTTCTTCTATGGAATACATTTCTGTTTCTTAAGATTTCTTGACCAAACTCAGCACTTGCAACTCTACACTATTTACCTATCATTTGTGCAAAACCGCCTCCAATCGAACTACTATACCACATGAGTCCTACGAGGACAATCAGTCGGAAATAGTTTCAGCTTTTGCACAAAGGACATATATCTATATCAAGGGTATTTATTTGCTGCTTCTTTGAAAAGTTATATAAGCTGTACTTTGTTAAAATTGTAAAGCAATGAAGTACTTGATTAGAACCAAAAAATTAATTGTAAGTAAAATAAAGCTGTTGATTTTATTATTATTATTATTATTGATTCCTCTCTACAATTCAAATCTATAGTAAGCCGTTTTCAACCATAAACTCAACTGTGATTTGCGCTTAGTTAGAATCTGTTTGGGCTTAAACGCTGGCCAACTGCTTAGAATATGCATTTGCAGTTGTCATCGCCGGCACGTTCGCAAAGAGAGACATGAGAACTGTGAACTGGGAGCTGAGAATTGAGAATTGAAAGCAGAAAACTGCGAGCTGTTTGCTATTTGTTCGCCAAAATGTCACTGATAACGAACTTTCTTGCCATTCGGCGCTGCGGCGGCTAAGGAAACAATCAGGCAATTGCCAGAGGACTTGTACACTTTTCGACTGCGACTCTGACTAACAGACAGTTAGAGCATACACACACACAAACACACACCCGCGCACACGCACACGCACATATAAATGCAGCGCAGATGGAGACAATTCTGTTCATTTGTATTTAGCTTTAGCAAACTGCAAATAAAAAAAAAATAAAATAAAAAAACGAAAACCCCAAGAAAAAATTAAGAACAATGTTGAGGCAAACTTTTTGCGCAGCATTTTAATTGCACGCAAAAACTTTTAACTAACTAACAAGCCACAAACTAGGCAACACCTCAGTGCACACACAGCCACTAACACACACACGCACGTATATATATATATATATATATATATATTGCTGGCCAGGCACCAAGGCACAAGCCTAAACAAAAGCTACTCGGGCAAAATCTAATTTTCAAACATTTACGTTTTCATTTTACTTGTTAACAATATACTAAAAACTCGCTCCAGTCGCAAATCTTGAAGCCTCTTTCATTCAGCTGTCCTCCAGAGGGAGTTGTGACGGGGTGTGTGCATGCGTGTGTGTGTGTGTGTGTGTGTGCACTAGGTGTGATGTGCCCATAGAGCGGATGCCAAGTGCTGGCAGACAGTTGCTGCATTTGCTGAATAAACATGAGCGACTTCTGTGGGCGCTTACACATAACCGCTTCCGTTTCCGTTTGAAATTGAGTCGCGTCCTTCAGCCTGGCGGCTAAGCGAATTTCCAGCATGCAAAACTTTTTGTGCCTTGCGCGTGTGCTCGGCCCCAGCCTGCCGCCTTACGCGGCCGTTTTTCCGTGCAGTTTATTGCCTGCGAACAATGCAACTGATTGCAAAATGAACAACAAAAAAACGAGAAAGTAAGGATATCTTTGGCACACCGACAATTAAATACCCTTGTAGACAATATCCTTACAGCGTTGCAGCTATGTGTGAGAATATTGAAGCTCGTTAATGCTGAGTTTGATGAAAATATCTTAAAATATCAATTCCACTGGAACCTCCTTCTGACCGATCGCTCCTATGGCAGCTATGTTATATTTATAGTGAACCGATGTTGATAAGATTTTGCATATATGTAAGCATAGTGGAACTTATAAATACCGAGCTAGGTAAGATATCTTGATAAAGTAATAATTCTTCCGTACAAGAATCTACTTTCAAACCTATAGCAGCCTTATGATAAAGTGCTCCGATCTAGCCGGTTCCTACATACCAGGACAATGGCCCTAAAACTGAGAGGCTCGTTTGAATAGAAACAGACTTACAGACGGACAATGCTGTATCAACTCGGCTGTTGACGCTGAAAGAGAATATATCTAATTTATGGCGTCGGAGATGTCTCCTACTATGCGTTACACGTTACATGACAAAAGAATAATATCCCTCGTTTCGCTTTCTTTTCTTCTTTGGATGGAAAGGGGTAGGAGTTTCCCAAGTATCCCAAGTATCAATCAACAGACCAAATTGAATATGCTGAAAAAAAATCGAATCGAAAAATCGATTTTTATCTATCTTGTGTATAGTACAGGTTACATGCAATTGCTCAAAAGCATCATACACTTTTATACATCAAAGGGTATCAAAAAGTAAAACCGTGGCGGCAGGTGAG